GGAAAATGGAAGAATTGAAAAAAAAAAAAAAAAAACACCACAAAAAACCCCCCCACAACACCACGAAAAAACCCACAAACATCTTGCATAACAACTGCTTTCCTTTGGTCTGTTTGTCTAAGGCTGTATTAGCCAGGAAAGAATTAGCTCCGGAGCTCAGTTTTCTTTTTCCTTTCTTTTATTTTATTTTTTTTTTAAAAGCAAAGTATCTCCAGATAAACTGTGTTATCCTGGCAAATATTAAAAAATAGTTCTGTGCAAACAACAACTATAAAATACTTAAGTACTGAATACATAAATATTGAAGTATTTAACCATGCTTCAATATATTGTCAAAAAAATTAAACCTCAGTTTGATGTTCTGTTGTTGTTACACGGCTTGAGAAAGCTAACTGTTCCCTTGACTGATCAATGAGTTTCTAAGGAGATACCTTCCCTTTGAAGATCAAGGAAATTTTAGATTTTAAGATAGATTTTCATATCATAAAGAGTCAGGTAGGGACAACACACATATTGCTATGCCTTAAAATCCCAAATCTCTTTGGTTTCAAGTTAACAGAGCATTGATGATATAGGATGATATGATATAGGAGACCGCTTGTGGTAGGCCAGGCTATGAAACACTTGCTCAAAATACACAGCAATGCTCAACTGTTTTCATAGGGATTAAAAAACAAACAATTTACTATTTTGGCCCTGACTCCTATGAAAGTTCATTAGTATCACAGTGACATAAGCACTGTGCCACACAAGTACTTTTGTTTACTTAAAGAAGCCTGGCTTCCAACCCAGTCCCAGCCAGACCGAGTCTCAATGCTTCCAAGCTCACAGGAAAAACAAACTAAAACAAAACAGGAAACTTTCTTCGAATCTTAGAGCTGTCGAGTCCCTTCAGTGAAGCAAGCAGGAGATAAAGAACTAAACACACTTAACCATTTCCACTCCAACCACCTCCACTCCTCCTTGATGTGTTTTTACTAGCACCGACATTTGGGTTTGGCTGGTCCAGTCTATGCACTGGTATGTTTAGACAGCACCATAATCTAATGTATTCCAAATATTGAAAAATAAATAATTTATATAAACCCTTTTGTTTCAATAGGCCATTTTATTTTATCCAAGTTCGTTCTTAACATAAATCATATATATTTGTTTCAAACCTATTTTGTGGATATTTTGCTTCAAGTCCCCTCTCACAATGTTACTATTTCTCACACTGCCCCACCAATATCAATCAGTTAGACAACCCACAGCCTTTGGACATCGACGACTTTGATACCAGTTCAAGACAGCATTTAACCCTTGACATATATTTGTGTATTTATATTCTTCCCTATTAAGGTCAACCTAGAAAAACATGCTTAACTTTTGAGTGTATCTTTCCTTGAATCACAGCTTAAGCTTTTTAAAGTATCCCTTGCTTGCCTTATCTGAAATACTAGTTTTGTTATACTGGTGCTTTTAAGTTCATAGTCATTGGTTCCAAAACTAGTTATGCTTTCTGTGCTAATTAATAGATAGGCAAATTCAAGAGTCTCTCTTTAATGGAGCTTCTGGATCATTCTTCCAAATATCTATTAAAAACATCCTGATATGCTACACAAAAAGCATATAATGTAAAACAGACAGTACTGACCTTGCATCATTACAGCTAAGGTAGAATCCCCATCTTTTTGTTTTGTTTCCAAAGAAAGCACACTAACCTCTTCCCCCCCATTTTTAAATTTCTGATAACCCTAGTAAAATTTCACTATCATACTTCACTGCAACTAAGCAATACTACAATATGCGAGAAACTTCCGTCTCCTACATAAGGTTTGCATTTGGTTAAAACAAACAAAAAACCCCAAACAACAAAACCAAGCACAGTTTCACAGAGTAAGACAAAGATTGCCTTTCAAGTGGGATCTTTTGCTTTGAAACTGTTCCAATATATTGAGTCTAGTTGACAAGTTTCTCTAGTATTTTAAGCTCTGTGGCAGCACAGTTCCACTCCCATTTAAATAAAAACCTCAAGAAAGATTTTTTAATACAGATAGTCTTATAGCCAGGGGAGCAACTGTTACCTTTACCGAAACTATTAAATGTTTTCATATCAATGCCTAATAGTAATCTTCAAAACATACACGTTTCTTTCTTTGAAACTTATGATAAACACTTATTTTCCAAAAGTAGAGAGCGATGACAATTTTGCACTCTGACAGATTTACAGTTGTATGCAAGTGTACAACTAACTTTGAGAAGAAAGCTGAAAAAGGTATAGATCAGAGTTTTAAAATCATGTAAAGAAATTACATATTTAAAAGCAATACTTAATATTAGATGTGTAGATCTATGGAGTACCATGTAAAAATGTATTCTTCAAGAATAAAAGAATCCTGGCATGGAATGATTCAATTGATTTCTCTTCCCTGAACTCAATCTGTTTTTACAGGCACCACATATAATTATCACATAACTAATACTGGAAATACACTACTTCATTCTAAGTGGACTGCAATCAACTGCACATAATCATTACTGTTTCCAAAATGCTATCAGCAGATCAATTTGTTGTGAAGCAGCTGTTAGTGATTTAATATTCTCTTTACTTACAAAGTGAGAGCTGTTCATTGTTTTCCTCTGGCAAGTTGGGGGAAAAAGGAAAGAGACAGATGCACAATGCATAATTTAAACCCAGTGAAATTTCAAAGGTTAACAAAAGTTTGATGAAATTTATTCATACCTGATAAAGCCAAAAGTCACAATGACTTTCTTGATTACTTATTTTAGGTCTAAGCATTAGGAACCCTCAGGTAAGTGGGGCAGGTGCCCAAGAGGAACTACACTCTGTTGAGCAAACACCTGGGGTAAGAACTGAACACCAAGGTGGCAAACCAGGCAAGGAAGATGAAAATTGCTTACTCTATCGTGCCTTCTTATTCCCAGCTGCCACATTGCCTATCCCATAGGAATTCTTGGGTTTCACTGCTCCCGAAAGGATGGTGAATCTAAATACCTTACTATTGGAATGAATGAGTCCTCCACAATGACGCATTTGGAACGTAGGCCCGCACCATGTCAAAAGTTATCCAAAGTACTGTCTCAGTAAGCCAAAAGTTGAGGTACTAACATGAATAATAAGAACCTGCAACTGAAACAATACTTGCCCCTTTTGCCGCTCCTCTCCAGTCCCACTATACTTTGAAATATATCCCACTATATTTTGCAAATGGTATGCCCCTCAGCCACCAGAGCCACATGCAGCAGTTTACCAAAAAACTGGTTAGAGGCAAACTAACCTACCAGCTGAGCAGACATTAAATAGCTGGACATGTTTCCTCTTTATTACCTATTCCTTGACTCTTCAAGGCAGAGTTTCTCCTACAGGCTACTACGACTCCTATATCAATGATTTTGAAATGACACCTTAAAGAGAGCAGAAACAAACAAGAAAAAAGAAACAGGAAAGACAACCTAGAAATGCCTTCAAATCTTTTGGCTTTAAATGCATTCCAAACAACAGCCTAAGCACTGCAACATCTGAATGTGATGGAGCTGAAAATGTGAAAAACAGAAAGAGAAGCTACTTGTCCTGTTCCAGGTGATTTAATGGCGAACTGCAATGGCTTCTAGTACTTACTGACTGCCTGTTAAAAAAAAATACCTTTTTTCATTTCTTTGGAGATAATCAGTGGAACAGAGCCTCAGCCTGGCCTGCCTTGATTACACTGGTGACTCCACAAAACTCACTGACACGACAAAGACACACTCTAGGTTTTGCCACTGTTCTTGTTTCAGGGGTGTCTCGAGGACAATTCAGATTACCGTCAATGTATTTCTTTTAGACATTACAACCAGCAATAACCGGCATCTAAGAAAGGGTATTTTTCAAAAAACCAAAATTTTCAAGATATTAGGAAGGCTCTTAAGAAATCATTAGCAAAGATATTCTCAGTGAAGGAACCTCTCAGCTGACAGAGGGGCACATCCAACTTTTATAGCTGGAGAGAAAGCACACAAATGGTGTGACACTTAATTATAAATCTAAACCTTACAACATGAAAATCTTGCAGCTATATTTGTGTACATACCACTATATGGAATGTCTATACACAGACACTCAAAGAGAACCATAGACCACCTGTCACGGGCAACAATTTTAAAGGTAATCTATTATGTTTATATTTTTATTGCTCTTCTGGTGTTTCCCAAAAGCAAGCTACAGAAAGGGACAGTTCATAAATAAGTCTTAGTCCCTTTCTGACTGCATCATTTCTAGTGTGGCCTTCAGATGCAAAGCCAAAGGGAAGAGGGGGGAGAGAAACAGTACAAGAACTTGTATATGCAACTGCTCAAAGCCAGTCAGAGTGCTGCATTTTATTCAAGGTTCTCCTTTACCATACTGAAAAAATTTAAACAGCGACACAGGTCTTTTAGTCCATTGAAACATACTGAACAAACTTAAGGACACTACAGACCTTTGAGAGTCACCTAGTTTTATAATTTCTTTCAGATTGACCTATCTTTCAATCAAAAATAAAAGTTCCTTGAAACAAACGAAGCATAGTAGAAAAAGGAAATTAAGACAGATGAAATAGCCAGTGACCACCAACAACTATCTACCATGCACTCTGGGATAATGAAAATATATAAGGCTCCCTTTAGCAGCTAGCAATGCTTTCCAGGGAGACAGGACTACTAACTGTTATGAAGAAAAGTATTACCAAAAGGTGGGTAATTTCTAGCATCTTATTCTCTTTACTGCCTTTGTTGTATGCATATAGCCAGTTTTGTATGGATTTTTAGAAAAACTAAGACTGAACAAAACCAAGAATATCACCCATCAATGAGTAATACAGTGAACAGATTTGATAAGTGTTCCACAGAGTAAAATATAGAAACACATTTTTTAAAATATTAAAATCCAAAATGGTCACAAACCCAAAAAGTCAGGATGAATAAAAAGGGGAGACTTAAGATAGGATTACAATAATAAACTAAAGGGATTTGGCTGGCATGATCAAATTCCTATATGTTAGTCTAAAAATACTGTATTTAGAAGTTTTCTAAACACTATTTAACAATAAAGTTAGTATTTTAGCAACATCTAACATCTTTAAGAGGTACTTTTAAAGTTCACCTATCTCCTCCTGGTTCTGGCCAGCTGTACAAGGCAAACCTTCCTTCCCTCTGTCCTTAACATATTTTACAGGTTAGATATTTTCAAACAGTGGTTCTGTAATGACAAATGTTCAGTTTGCAGACAGCTAGTTACTCACTCCCGTGATAAGGTTTCCCCTCCTTCCTTCTAAGCCTATTTTACCAATTCTTTAATATGCCTGAAACTTTCTGTTCAGCCAATTTCTGCAGTTCTTTAGCGAGGTTTCAGTTGAATATGAGGAAAAACTTCTTTACTCTAAGGGTGACAGAGCACTGGAACAGGCTGCCCAGGGAGGTTGTGGAGTCTCCTTCTCTGGAGATATTCACAGCCCGCCTGGTCGAAGTCCTGTGTAGAATGCTCTAGGAGAGCCTGCTCTAGCAGGGGGGTTGGACTAGATGATCTCCCGAGGTCCCTTCCAACCCTTGCGATTCTGTGATTATACAGTAACAAATGAGAAGCGAGGTCCTTGATGAGGTAGCGCTGCCTAACATGGCACTTACTACAAAAACATTTCAGCATATTCAGCAAAAGAAAACGTTTCTTTGAAGAGGAAACTTACATGAATAAACAAGACAGGAACATGTTTCCTAGAGGTGGTCAATGCTCCAAGCCTGTCTGTGTTTAAGAGGCATTTGGACAATGCCCTTAACAACAGGCTTTAACTTTTGGTCAGCCCTGAATTGGTCAGGCAGTTGGACTAGATGTTCAGCGTAGGTCTCTTCCAAATAAAAAGGACTATTCTAGTCTAAGACCGCAAACATTGGAATCACTGGCATACCACATATCACAATATTAGTGTAAAAAGTGTAGTGTAAAAGTAGCCTCAGGCTGGATATATAGTCCAATACAGGAGCAACTTCAGAAGCTAGATCAGGAAAATTTTAACTAAATGCAACCCAAAAAACCCCAAAACAAAATAATGAAGCCCCAACCCCAAACCTCCAGACTTCAATAGATGGTATGGTCACAATAAGTTTGTGGTGTAACATTTCTCTTCAGTCAAGAGGAAAAATCAGGCAAGTGTCCAAAACCCATGCCCAGACAAACATTTCAGTCATCAGAAGGCTAAGAAATGTTTTAAGTGCTGTCAATGAGAAGTAATAGGATTTGGTCATATCCTGAATGGCAGCAATAATGAAAAGTGAGAAAGTACACAACAATTTATAAAAAAACAACAAACAAACCTAAACTTAAGAGGTTAGAGATTTGGACCGAGTTTTAGATTGTTAACAAAGATGTCTGTAAATCTGAGACTGTGTACAGAAGACAGTTCTGGAATAGAGCTTGTAAGTTTGAGACATTATTAAAAATTTACAAGAGGAGAGATGAGGGTAATAGAATTACTTCATCTGAAATACAAAAATATGGCATTACACAAAAAAAGCATTACAGTTTTGAGACTTGATTGGCTAACTACATAGCTGGAGTCCTATGGCTTTAATTGGGGAGAAAGCTAAAATTCTGATCTTAATTTAAAAGTTGATTTTACACAGAAAAATTTTTAAGTAAGAAAGTCATAAAGTTTTATACAGTAAAATTGTTTGGAATTTTTAAAGTCTGCCCAGAATCATCTTAAAAAGGTAACTATACTGACACAAGGCTTATATTTCGGGGGGTGAGGGGGTGGGAAATCTATGTGGAGCAAAAGACACTCAACTAACACAGAAAGAAATTAGATATTACTACTCCAGAAATCCTGTATGGTAAGCCTTTAAACTGTAATTACGATTCTGTCTTTATGTAAAGGACAGTCAGCATTTATGGGGAAAAACCCCGTTCACTTAGTATTTTCCTGTTTCATCAATAACTGCTGTTTAAAACAAAAAAACAGGTACTACTTCAGTACTGTTTCTGTCTTTCTGTATACCCTTAAGATAAGGAACTCCTTAAGGCAGATACTTTTAAGTACTCAAGTAATCAGCTGTGATCAGTAATAAAAGCGATGTTCCAGAACACTTAATTCCCCAGACTTTTTAAACACGTACATGACACTGGAAAAAATAACTCACGTGATTGAATCTTCTGGTGAAAGCAACAGCATTTGGTGCAGAACTGTATTTCTCTTTTTTATTCCAGCCACAGCTTGCCAGCTCCTGGGAGAACAAGGATGAAAATTCATTTTTTTAAATGAGTGCATAACACACACTCAGAGCCAAGAGCATGTAGAGACACAAATCTTAAGTTTCAAAATAACTTAACAGAGCAATAATACTTTGAAGAAATAGTTACACTTATTCTGATTTCTTCTGTAAATTGAGATTCCACAAGTATAATTTCTGAATTGCTTTGAATTATTAGATTTTTATAATTTCTCTTTTGTTGAATTAGGGACTTCTTTTTAATTCAGCTCTTATTAGAAACCAGTGAAATAATTCAAGATCTATTTTGTTACCACAGAAAATCCTGCTTTAAATGTGAATCTGAGCTAGGGAAAGCAGCATGTTCTTTTGGTTTTAATTGCTTTCTGAAGATACTTAAAGTCTACTGAGAAGATACACCTCATTAACTCAATCTAGACATGTCCCATTATTTTAACGTGGCATGTTGCATTAAAGAAATACCAAAATTGTCATCTTTTGCAGCAACAATAAGAGAAATGCTATTTCCAGTTTTTCCCTTCCAAAGGAGCCAATTTTATTTTAAGTTGAACAACACTCAGCACTTATAGTTTTGCGGAGCAAAAGAGAGCAAAGAGGACCTGCTTAAAAGATAAAAAAATAAATCACATAGTTCCTGTATTTAAGTCCCTAAACCTAAAACATGTAAGCCTCAAACTAACAAATTACTTGTAAAGCCTGAAAAAGCATTACTTTATAACTACAAAGTTACAAGGCCTCTTACTTGTCTGTAAAACTGCAACTACATCATATTCCTTGTTATTTACTCCCACTTAATAAAAATAAAGCAGTTTTAATTAAAACTTATAAAAAACTAAATGTACCAAAATGAGCTCTTCTATTTGCATGCAGCAACATACAGAATAGACGCATTACGTACAGCACACAACCTATTCAACAATGCTACCAAGACAAATGAATACAGAGACAGCTTTAATAATTAAAGGGGCATACTAGCAAAGTACAGCCTTTCATTTTCATTTATTCATGCTTTCTTTCCACATCTTCCATACTGAAGCACTCTCAAGTTTTATCACCACATTGAAAACTACTTACTGAAACCAGTATCACACTGTATATCCAGCTAACAAATAATGTAGGTAAGTTGACTCAATGTGTAACCAATATTTGTGCTATTTAAGACAGTCATAGTTTAAAATAATTTGGTATCTGGATATTCTAAGTTCCAAAGGTTTTTTTTGTTTTTGTTTGGTTGGTTTTTTAGTCAGGAACTTCTTAACATCTTTTCAACCAACGTCCCAAAACTACTAGAGAGTCTCATGCCAATTAAGATAGACCTTGAATTCTTCCATTTGTTGAAGTTTGTGTCACGCTGGTATTTATCATAGAATCGTTTAGATTGGAAAAGACCTCTAAGATCATCAAGTCCAATCGTTAAACTAACCCTGACATCCCACCGCTAAGCCATGTCCCTAAGCACCACATCTACCCATCTTCTTAATACTTCCAGGGTTGGTGACTCGACCACTTCCCTGGGCAGCCTGTTCCAATGCTTGACAACCATTTCAGTGAAAAAATTTTTCCTAATGTCTAACCTAAACCTGCCCTGGCACAATTTGAGACCATTTCCCCTCATCCCATTGCCCATTATGAGAGAGAAGAGGCTGACCCCCACCTCACTACACCCTCTTCAGGTAGTTGGAGAGGGCAATAAAGTCTCCCCTCAGCCTCCTTTTCTCCAGGTTAAACAATCCCAGTTCCCTCAGCCACTCCTTGTAAGACTTGCACTCCAGAACCCCCACCAGTTTTGTTGCTCTCCTCTGGACATGTTTCAGCAACGCAACATCTTTCATGAAGTGAGAGGCCCAAAACTGAACACAGTTCTGAACACAGTATTTGTTAGAGAAGACTCCAAGATGCTCCTGTCCACAGGCACTGGGAGGAATACAGAGTCTTCAGCTTTGTATTTAGGGCCATTCCTTCAAACATCACTAGCAAGTTCTGCCATCAAAACCTATCCTGAAAAGGGCCAGCGTGTTCAGCATGGGAACATGCCCACCTCCTTATATCTGCACTTCAACGACTATGCACAAGACAACCACGCAGCCCTGAGTCGCTCCTATTGCAAAGGGAAGTGGGCTATGGGAGAAGGAAGCCATCCAAAAGACTCTTGTTTACATTGTCTATCCCTCAGCATCTTCCTGTGCTGCAGTTTCCATTGGAATAACAATTCACAAATCTGGGAGAATACAAGGTGATTCATCCTTACTGGCATCTGATGATTACACTTCCTTACCAGCAGAAAAAAAGAAAATATTAGTTGCCGTCTCAGGTTTAGAGAAAGCATGGCAATTTCTTAATAATTATGGGCATGTCCTTGTTCTATTTCAATTCTCATAATTGAGTGAAAAAAACAATGATGATTCTGGGCAGAAGTTACCCATTGCCCAGGTATCATACATCTAAGGGCTTACATGGTACAGACATCAGAAGCAGACCTGGCTTAGCAAGCACTGAGGTTTGTGGCACTGATGCGATTAGCAACAGAAATGTTAATTTTTAAGTAGGAAGCATTACCAAGAATCTTTAGAAAGTATGTAAGTAGCAGTATTAGTGTTAAGGTCAAATTTGTATTTATACACTTAAAATTAGAAGTCTAATATCATTTGGGCACAGATGCAAGATCTCACGGGCAGCGAGGGAGGGGCAGCGAGGGAGGGGCAGCGAGGGAGGGGCAGCATCTCATTATTATTTCAAAGAGGAGGTCTCCCTGTTTTGACAGAAGACTTGGATAACTGAAGCCTCTGCTCCAGAAAAATTCTGTTGAGATTTTTCCTTATCTGAATGGAAAGAGAAAGGCATGACTGGCAGAGAATAAATGTTTTGGTAAATAAGATGGAAATCTAAACAATGAGCCAGCAGAAATAGCTCCTGGAACACATTCCTAGCAGATTCTCCTAAGACTGTTTCTGTATTTCTAGGCCTGAGGCTGGTTATAAGGTTGTACATAGAGTTGTACATTATCATCCTTACCTTGGAGTCAAATGTGTTTTCATGCAGTCTTATATAAAAAGTAAAGACTTCATTGTACTTTATTGATCATATCACATACTGTTTAAAACTTTAAAATTCTAGTTCAGTTAAGAGTATTAAAAAAACCACAAAACAACCCACCACAGCTGACAAATCAGAAGTTTTCCAAGTTAAAAAAAGGACAAAAAATATTATTCAACATTACTAGAGGTTTTTATCATTTCCCCCCACCACTAGAGCTAAACACATGAAGTGTTGGACAATGGCAATGTTCTGTGATCTTGCACTCAAAGGATATTACAAGGTCACCACATTTTGCTCCAGCCCAGTGACTCCTAAATAGTGCTACACGTGCTCCTGGTCTACATGAACCCTTCAAAGGCACAGCAGCTCCCAGCTCCACCTGCATGCAGCACTTGCTTCAACCACTCTTCTACTAGCTCTCCTTTCTCTTCCTCCCCCAAAACCTTTGAACTTTGTAGTAAGACTGCAAACTGAAATAGTCATTTGTGGAGTGTACAACAGGACACAGAGGCACAGGGTTGAGGTATACGAGGAGATGGGACAGTTACGGGGAGATTTGGACTCCTAGATTTGAGGGCGGAAAAGATTATGAAGTCAGACTACAGGAGGTAGGAGGCAGAAGTTGTCAACTGGAGACAGAGTAGAAAAACTACATCGTAACATATTTAGCATCAAGATAATTTGAAAATACATGGGTACAGTAGAGAGAATATAGGTATGAGATTGAGATGGTTCCAGAGTATATGGGGTCCCAACTAAAACAACAGAGCCAAAGGCACGTCCTCCCCTATACATGCTTGAAGCACAGCACAGAAGCAGAAGTAACAGACAAAGCAGTCCCAGTAACTGCTAGCGACAACAAATTTGAAAATGCTTTGGCTCTAGCCACATTCTTGAGTGAAAGCATTTACTACTGGATACTGCAAAGCCAAAGATCCTGCTCCTGACTGGAGACGTACACATCAAAATCCTTTTACAGAGGTGCCGAGGCACAGTTACACAGGGACCTGTGCTATCAGTTCAGATTCTTCAACAGCTTAAGCCAACATCTACACTGCTGTTTAGGGACAGATGTAGGAGAGGCACAGACTTCTCAGAGTTCAAAAAGCCTTTTTTCCCCTCCCTTTAGTTAGTGTAAGAAATACTTCTCCAACTCACTTGCAAGACCTCTCTCCCCTGTACAGCCAGCTTTTTCTCTTGGCTATAAAACCAAAATTAGTTTCCCTTTGCTGCCTGTCCACAGTTTCTCAGCATTATTACCTGACCACTCTGCTTCAGCAGAAACTCTGTTGTACACAACCTTCTTCCTCACTAGAACCTGCTTGCCTTAACTCACTGCCCTTGACACTGCTCATCCCACCACCCTAAGATGGCAACAACAGAACAGAAGCCACCAAGGTTTTTGCCTTCACTGCATTTGGTCTGGGAGAAGTACAATGCAGTCCTAACGAGCATGGACCTAACTCTGCACACACTATTGCAATAAAGCACACTAATTTGCTGAATTGGAATTCAGAACCCATTTTATACTTCTATAAAAATACTATGTTTTTGCTAAAGAGCCTGTGCTGCCTGTTCCATTACTCAAGTTCAGGTATGTTTCTTTGATCTTCCTCTAGAATTGCACTTTTTCCACCACAAGTTTCAAACCTGAAGTATTCACAAGGACTATTTTCTTAGTCTGCCAGTCAACTCAAGCACAGGAGCTACATCACTACAACTACTCACTTCTTATTTTGTGTAATTTATTTAAAATGAGGTGCAACACTGAAAGGTTTAGGCTCAAGAACACAAAAGGTGAACTTTCTTCATAACTCATTTTGTTCTTCATTCCTTTTTGAGTAACTTTATTTTCCTTAAAATACTACAGGAACACTTAAATTACAACCTGTACTACATGGCATAAAGATAGACTGCACTTCTCATTAAAATCTTTATATATGGCTCAAAGTAAAAGTTTCAAAAATAGGAGGTGAGAAAAAGCAAGCATTAATAGTGTAACCATTATACAACTTCAGAACAAGTAGAGATGAAGATTCAGGAAGTGAACTTTTTTTTTTTTTCTTCACTGCCCAGCCTAGTGAAGCATTGGGGATAAAGAAGTTAAAGACAATATCCCAGTAAAGATTTTCAAGTGTGAGTCCATATGGGTAAATAATTTTGGAGGATGTATTAGAATATGTAAAATAAGTAATCATATTTTCCAATGAAAGCAAGTTGATGTGTTCTTGGAAGGTGACATCTGGTATTTCATTAACATTAACCTAGCTACCAGCAGCACAACCGAGCAAGTCTATGACTACCTTTTTGCTTCATAGTCACTGCTCTCTAGAGAGCCACAACCACTACAAAAAGAAGAAAACAAAAACCAGCATACCACTTGTCATTTATGGGGGATTAGACAGAAATTATACGATTGACTTGGGGAACTCCACCTTTTTTTGTTTCCCAAAAACAAAAATGCAAATCAGCTGCTTTCATAAAGACAGAAGTTCATGTAGTGAAGGTGTGTTTTTATTATCTTAATTTCTTATACTGCAGCCATTGATTATTAATTAACAAAGAAAGAGTAACTCCTTTTACTTTCTTTTCTCAGAAGTAACTTGCAGGCATTTTTAATGATGGAGAAAGGTGGTTTCCAGTATCACTTGGAGTGATACACCCTGCTTAAAGCTCAGGCATGTCACTATATACTACCTAAGCATTGGTAACTGTTCAAGTCTATCTTCTGGCTCACCCTAAATGTAAAGTGATGCACTGTACCTTAATCCTGAGTTATCTGGGCTACACTAAGCTCCCTGTCCATTTTTTCCTAAGAGCATGAAACAGTAAGCCGTAGTGGATGATATGTAGGAACTCTAGCATACACATGCACCCATGATATCTGCAGGAAATTTGAATATAGGCAGAAACAATTACATTTCTTTGCTACAGAGAGAGGCAAAAGGCTGAAGAAGTATACAAGTGTGTACTATGAGTATGTTCACTGATTTAGATCCTAAAAGAAAAATGACTATATGTTGCTGTAAAAAGTTATTCAGCTCTGGTATTTGTTAAGATAATCAAGATGAATCAAGACGAAATTCTGATGCTGCTTTAAAAAACCCCCAAAATGTACAATACTTTAAGAAAAGATTTTAACACAATGAAGAAGATGCAACACAGTAATTTAGATAGTAAAGAAAAACTATGATATTTAAAGAATACTGTTCACACACCCTAAATATGGTGAAAATTCATCAGTTTTAAAAATTAAGCATCTTGGAATACAACTTTCAGAACCCTTATTTCAGAAAACAAATGAAAACACATTAAAGGCTAAAAATATTAATCCATATACAATTCTACAGAGTTTGGGAAGTTTAGAAGCTCTTTCATACAGGTAAAAATCAGCTCAACATTGTTATTTTTCTAATTACAAATTCAACAGTGTTTGAGTGCACACATCAGGGCATGTGTAAAGATTTACAAGTTGAATCAAGATACGGATATGGCCCACAGTATCGTAGGTGTTTCAAAGAAACTCAGAAACCTACACCACCTCATTAATCTGCTGTCAAAACACCTTTAGGCAAACTACATGTTTCATGCCTGGTTTCCCCTTCTGCAAAACAAGAAAGCATTTTAATTGTCTAGCTTCTTCTGACCCGAAAGTTAATCCATATTCCCCTTTTCCACAGGGGATTAACACAATTTAGAGGCACATCAGATAGTAGACCAAGGTCTGTCATCTTCTATCTGATGGAGCACTGATGGATAGATAAAACTTGCACACTGTCAGTGCCTTCAACTGTTTTTGTGCAAACACTGGAGAAGTGTCAAAACAGCTACCCTTCCCTCATATGGGTATTTTCCAGTGACGGCATCACATGCATTTTTCATGATGGAGTACATACAGATTTCTTAAAACAAATTACTTTTCGATATATGTCACCTACTCTCTCACAGTTTTTGCTGTAGATTAGTTTCACTATTCTATTCTGCTTTTCCCTTTTATGGTTTACAATAATGAGTTAGAAGAGACATGAAAATTAAATGTACTTTCTTGACATCTCCTCTCCCAGAGACTTTCTGTAGGTCTGCTCACACAACAAACTGAGATACAAGAGGTAGCATTAAAATAAGTGATAAAGTATGGAGTACTTGATCACTGCCAGTATATCTAACTTGCTTGCTTCCATGTGGTTGTTACACAGCTGACCGCTCATCCTGTGCAGCGCTGGAAGCAGACCGCAAAGAATAAATTACCACCAAGCTCAAGCAGTGGAATTTCTTTATCAGCAGATCATTAGGAAAAGTCCTAACTAGTTAAATTGGCTTTTTGATTTTTCGATATCCAGTACTTTGAAGATCAGTGTAACTAGAGATGAGGCACTGTGTAAAAGCAGCCAGAGCTTATTCAACTTCAACACTCAGGGTACAGGGGGAACCCTACAGAGCAGTAATGCTTAAGATTAGAAAAAGTAGTACATAAACACACGTATGAGGAAAACATTGAAAAGAATCAGATAAAAGGGTAAAATGCTTTAAAGTTTTGGAAAAGAGCTTTAAAAAAATAAGATATATCCTATTAGAAGATGAGGATAAATATATTCTGCCAACCAAAAGGACTTTAAGGATGCCCAGAAAAAACAGCCAGTGAGATCAAATGGGAGGCTCTTTGAAGGATTTAAAAAAGCAAACAAAAAACCCCCAAACACCCACACAAATCCACATGGGTTAGGAAACAGCTTGCTGAAATCATGAAAGCTAAATCATTACAACATTTTCAAGTATAGATCAAAAGGAAGCCTTCAAAAAAATTTGTGGGTACACAAGCGATGAAATCTATAAACACAACCAAGAGATTCAGCAGGTTTCTCAACTGAAGCAAAATATTCTTCAGTGGGCCACAAGAGCGACATGACAAAAGCCTGCTACCAATAAAATAGCTTATGATAGTCTAAAAGGTGACTGATGAGCTGAAAAAGACTTCTACGCTACCGATAAAGTGAACAGTAAACTGAAAAATAAACCTTCAAAAGCGCAAAACAATGTCCACAGGAAAATACTAATTGTACAGCAACAAGGATAAGCAAATTCATCATTTACTACAGCCACTGTGAAGTGGTGAAAACAATAGTTCAACTCAGGCTTTCAAATCAGAAAGGAATATGGCATTATAAGAAAAAAAAACTGAAAACATATCATCAATATATTATCCTAATATGTCCACAAATCAAACCCATCTTGAATACAGGATGCCATTACAGCCATTTTTTTTTTTTTTTTTTCCCAAAAAAAAGATATGAACCAGTTAGGGAAACTCAGGACAGGATGAGGTATGGCATGATGTATCAGGAGCTGAAACCTAAAACATTATGATCAGAACAGCAAATCAAGATGTTTATAATTCAGAAACATTAAAACCCAGACACTTCATCTCTAGCACTAGCTGAACATGTTTCAGTACCAGTATTTCACCAGTATTTCAGTACTTACCTCTGGCTGAATTGCTTTAAATACAGGAACATCCATTAGTGTTATCTGACCCTGAAATAAGAAAAAAAAATAGTTAAGCTCAAAATTAACCTCACATTCTATTAAGTTGCTGTGCTGCATGACAACTGTATTTGTTTTGTTTCCTGTTATTATTTGACTTTCATTTTGTAGCTAATTTTCAGAGGTTTTGGCTCCTAATACAGAGCCATCCTGCAAAACCAGAGAATAAAGTGCTCCAAACTTTACATTTAATAAAATAAACAGATTATGAGAAATTGTTCACAGGAGCATAATCCTGCAGTTACATATGCAAAGTCAGAGCTTGAACTTGGAAACACTATATAAGAAGCTATCGAAGAATACAAGGAACTAACTTTAAAGAGAAACTGCCCTTAAGCAACCAAACTCTGAATCTTAGTCTAGGCATTACACAATTTTATTGAAACATCCCTAAAATTTTTCAGATCAATATTTGAACCATATCTGAATAACTAAGCTAAGTAATTGTTCAGTTGCACAGCAACAGTTAAATACAGCCATATCACTTCCAGCAAGTCGGAACCAGTAACTACATTTTCTTTCTGACATGTCTGTTTAGCTTTGAAAAAGGTACAAGAGAACTCAAGAGTCAAAAGACCAGATTTTACATTTTGAAACATATCACAGAGCCTTATTTTAAGCATACAATTTAGGACTGCTGTCTGCCTATGTATGCAGAAGAAAGAGACCATCTCTTTCAAGAGTATATAAGTAACCCAGAAATACCGGTCCCATCCAAGTTAGATATCACAAATACCCTTTTAACAGTGAATCCAGACACCTTGCTTTGTTTCCTCAGATGCAAGCTGCATTGCTTTATTCCCATTTCCTTGACAATGGCAGTTCCCCCATTTACACACACAAGGGTACACACCGACAGCTTTGTGACCCTCACAAATAGCAATTTCCATTGAATGCCATTGTTGGAGAGCAAAATAGCTTCTCAGATAAAGCCAACCTTGTAGAAAATTTTTAACTAGGATACTCTAGTTGAAAGAAAGCAGGTGCAAAGAGATGCACCTGCTCTAATGAGAGAAGTGACATGTTTTGCCAAAGATGACCAAATCTACATTTTGTAGCAGATCTCTGTGACCTCTAAATCTACTTTTAGGTATGAATTCTAGCAATCAAATGTGAACACAAAAGATTATATAATTCAGTCCCAGTTTCTGTAACCGACATACTGGACACAATCATCTGGTATTTTGAAGTACAGTATCATAGAAGTAACAAGCCCTTCATGAGTTTTCTTTTTACAAACTTTCTCTCCTGGGCTCTGCTTTAGTTGGCTGCTCCTTCTTCCAAACGATGATGTTTTAAAGCTATATTAGATTTTTCTAACATTGGCCTAAAGTGCGATTAAATCAGGCCAATTTGACTGAATCCACATACTCAACTACAAACAAGACCACATACACAAAGGTGTTCAGATCTGCACATTTGTGAGTAGCAGTAAATCCTGGACAAAGTTTTAGATAAACAGACATTCTTGATCTTGTAACATAAATACATTTGCATGTATGAGGCATATGATTTGTACCTACCATTCATTAATATCCATAAACTATTTAAATGCCAGTTTAAAAAAGAATCCCCGAACTACCACTTTTGTATGTGGTTTAGCAATCAACTGATCAGCTGCAGCATCTGTCTTGACATCACAAATTATACTGTACCTTAAAAGTTCAGATGAAGGCAAAGATATCCAACATACCCCCAAAGTTTGTTTTAAGCAGCAGACTAGTAAGACTAGTAAAAACAGAAATTCAGGAATATAGTAGGCCAAATACTCTGCCTTCAACATAACTTCTCTTGCACCAACAGCAATGACAGTAAAAACATGTAATAGACTTTTGCCAAAAACAAAAGATGCCTTTTAAACTGAAAGCAACCTTGCTAACTGAAACCATTCTATTCTTTTATTATGAGGCCTACGAAAAAGCGTCTTATTCTCAGAGGAATAAAAATGGTTTATTTTCCTAAAATTAGAGACTCTTTCAGTGTTATTTTTTAGGCCATCAAGGTCAGAAATACGGAAATCTTCACAGGAAGCTTTTTTTCAATAGGGTTAGTTTTATCCTGCCACAAAGAGTACTGACAGCAACAAGTCATTGCTGGTGAGGGAAGTGGACAAGTTTGTGAAAGTGCACCCAAACATAAACTATTCCAATGATGGTTAATAAAACTTTGCTTTTCAAGGATTTTGAATGTGTGGACAATGCTGGTAGTTTTCCATGCTATTATCCACCTTTTTCTAACCTGAAGAGGTTATCTGGGGAAGGACTAGGACCCTTGGACAGTGACAAGAGCACCAACCTTGCCAAAAGCGACAACATGCTTTACAATGCTTTGCTGTAGGTGAAGGGTACAGCTGGATCTTTACATTACACACCAAAGAGCTTTAGAAACTTCTAAACATGTCATAGATGTCATTCTGGGTTATATTACACTGCACCTGGGTAAGCAAATATGGCTTCATCTTGACAATTTAATAGTATGCCCTCTTATTTGACATATCTACATACAAGGCTCTTTTGAGGAAACAGATAGGCAAGGCATGTCTTTACCGGGGCAGGGAAAGACATCCAACAAGAAAGGGGAACAAGATTTCTTTCCAAAAGCATGATATTTAAGAAGGGGGCAGGGAAAATCTGGCTAACTAGAGTTTAAATGGATTTGAAGCTAATAATCAGTATTTATTCAGAGAACACATCCTAAAAGGATTTGAGCCATGAGTTTATATATTTATTTCTAAACCTTACTTAAAAATCTAAGATGGTAAGTTGAGAATGTCTAAGTAAAGGGCTTCCCTGTGAGGGCAGTACTTACCTAAATACTGCACAAAAAGTCTATACCACTGCGTAGGACAAACCTGTCTGATATTTGGAGTGTGTGTTATATCTAAACTTCCCACTCGCTAGGAAAGAGCGAACCTATCCCAGTTCTGTAAATCATCTAACCATGTATCCACAGCTGCGTAGGCACAAGCACCAAGGAATTACACTTTCTTACTTGCAGAGAACACTCAAGAGACACAGGGACAGAAGGAAAGCACAGATTCATTTCTCTCACCTGATCCAATCCTGACCATAGAGCAGCCACACATTACAGGAAGAATTAACTCTTCCTTTTGATTTCCAAGGTGAAGAACCCAGTCCTGAAACACCAGGCGTAGAACTCAATCTCTAGTCTCCCTTTTGTCTGCTAAAGTATACCAAGCTTTCTCAGAAATGTATTATTTTAGGTAAATACAGGACCAACCAAATGTATCTCTATGCTTCTCAATAAAGGAAATTAATTAGAAAATTGGTTGGGGTGGGAAAGGTGAAATCAAAAGCACTTTAATAAAATTTGAATATAGAGTATCTTAAAACATCCTTACAAAAGACCTAGGCATTTCAACAGTTATTAACATCTCACTGCAAATCCTCCTCACTAAAATAAGTTTACAACAACAGTACAATAAAAATGAGCCAGAAAACTGATTCATTGTTCATATAGAAGAGGGAATGCTTAAAAATGTTGTCTTTCTTCTCAGCCCTCCAGAATTTGTCATCTTAATCAACCTGATCTGCCTTAGCTAAATTAGACTATTATTACTTTAGACTATTATCACTTGCTTCAGTAGTGACTCCTAAAACAAATTAGTACTTTAAGATAGGATCAATGACCAATATTTATGAAACAAGGACTGCTATAACAACTTCCCACCAGAACTGACATATCAAAATGCACACACATTTTAAGTGGTAATATTAAATAGGTATATTAACACTGAAAAAACATACAAATGCCAAAGTTCAAGATTAACATTTCTTACTAAAAAGATTTGAAATTGCTATTAAATACATTACTATATTAAAAAAAAGTCTGAGAACTAAAAAAACTCAGTAAGTTTTAATAGAGAAACTTCTTTCTTCTAGTATCACATTGATATTAGGCTGATTTTTTTTCCCTGCTTGTTTGGTTTACACACCTTGCTGCTTTCACCAAAAGCAGTATCAATCTTCAGTAACACTGTATCATGTTACCACTTGTTCAAGAAACATCCTTTATTGAGGTTCCTTTCTCAGACAGCTTGAAATTTCCATTAAGAGTTCCAAGCACTTAAAAAATTACTCACAATTCAAAAGAGGGAAGCAACTGATAGCTGAGTACCTAAGCTGATGGATAAGAAGCCATTTGAGCTTGTAGATATGACAGTGTACCTCACATAAGAGTTTAAAAATACCTTTGACAAAACAGAATTTTTTAAACATTAACTTATTCATATTTATAAGTCTAACACTTAATTGAATTTTACCCTTTTAAAAGTGCTTGCTTACTGCTAAAGTCAAAAATAAAGCAAACTGAAAGGCTGGCATTCTAATCAATAGCATTTGAAATGACAAAATTTAAAAAATAGTTTATGATATTTATGTTAGCTGCCATTGCTCAACTCTAACAACAACAAGTTTCTACCATGACCAAATCAATGGGAATTTAAAACCCAATAAACAAAGCCACTAGTTTGGTTTCTGCAGTGAAAGAGATACAATCTACTAACTTTTCTCATTCCAGCTCCTTAACCCAGCCAATACAAATTCCTGGATAGCGTTCTCTCCTAAATGTGGTTTAACATTTTAATATTCAAACCAAAAAATTGTGTTCACATCAATTTGTTACATGAAGCAAGCCAACCATAACCTCTCTGGTTTTTGAGTTGTCAGATGCATAGATTCAGGAAAAAAAAAAAAAATAGAATGTGTGCATTACGAAACTCTGAACTTATTCTTCCGTATCATTTAAATAAGCTTTCTGATTACACAAAAATAGGGAAATTCGGTATTTTCTGCCTTTCCAGAAGTGACATGTCTATCAAGTTCATTTATATATTAAAAGTGCTTCTTTGCTCAAGCAACGAAAGAGCTGAATGGAAGTTTTGTGTTTAAGTTTGCCCTAGATAACAATTCTAGAATATGATTAGAAGAGGTATGTTTTTAACTTACATATTTCCCAATTCTCAACCACTT